GGAACTTGATGGGCATTTACAATGCAAAGCTAGTTCAAAAGATAAAGACAAATACTGGATGATTTTACATAAGTGGGTCCTATAAGGAAACAAAGCAGAAAAACTGAGAAAACAAAATAAACATAAATGAGTGGGCATTGATGAGCAAATGAAGTTACCAAAGGTTGGGGAGAGGGTTTGGAAGGGCTAGGGGATATAAGGGCTGATGGTAAGGGGAAACAGAAAGAAGAAGAACTCAACTGTCACAGGAAAGCATGTTCAGGGCTGCATATGACATATGTTTCAAGAGGGTGCTTGGGAGTTCTGCTCAGTTATATGACAAAGGCAGCAGTTACCAGGAGAAGAGGCAAGATTCCTTACCCTGAAAACATTTATAAATAAACTGTTACTGACACCATCTCAAGGCAGGTACTCTTAATATCACCTCCCATGGGGCTTGGCAGTTTACAAAGCATCCTCATATCCTTCATTCTCATCCTTCCAAGCAAGCAGATTTTTTTTAAGATTTATTTATTTATACAAGAATGGGGTACAGGCCAGATGGGTGGGAGGGTAAGAGGATTCACCAGAGACAGAACGGGGAACAGAACAGGCAGACTGACTGAAATACACTGCTGAGGGGAACTGCAGGTGAGACAGGAGAGGTCTGCCGCGCCATGTGGGAGTCTCGCCGGCCGGCTGGGATTGAACCTGCGCTGCAGAGGCTGTGGACAGCTTCACAGTGCGGTGCTCAACTGCCTGCGCCACCAGGAAGGCCTGCAAGCAGATTTTTTCACATTCACTGCAGAGATAAGGAAATGAGGCTCAGCAGTTAAAAGACTTGACCAAGATCACACAGCCATGAAGTGGGGACCCGGGGCCACAGTGAGTTCCCTGGACTCTATTTCGGCCCCCTCTATCTTGTGCCATGTCTGACATCATAGATGAGGTTCGTCTAGATGCCTCTTGAAAGTTCAGGCCAACAGAGAGAAGAAGCAAGTGACCTATCTTAGGGATCCCACATCCCCTTTGGGTCTTATTCTTAGCCCAGGGCCTCTCATCAAAACCAAATTAAACCCAGATTCTAGATGTAGGTCTGGTCCTTCTGAAATGGGATGCTGCAGGGGTGCTGGATTCCTTCCACACAGTCTGCTTCCCCACAGTTTTTGCAAGTTCCTCCTAGACTCCCTTCTGGGGTCATTGCCTAGCAAATGTTAAGTGGAGGAGATGGAAAAGTGTCCCCTAACTTCCTATTCATGAGAATGTTCCAGTCTTTTGGTCTTAGAGAGGTATAGAGTTTGAAAACAGAGGGGTGTGTGTGTGTGTGTGTGTGTGTGTGTGTGGCTTGGGAACAAGTTAACTTCTGTTTCCTAATGAAAAACTAAAAGCTTGAAAGGGATTTGTTAAATCAACTAAAAGCAGCCTCTGGGATCTGCATCTCTTTCATGCCGGAACCCTTTCCCAGTGTGTAAATGAATCAGGACCACATGGATCCAATTTCACTCAGAAACTGCATCAGCTTATAAAATGCAGAGAGGAAAATCACCAAGGGCCAAGTCTGTTTTCATCCCTCTGTCCTCATACCCTCAGAAGCTTGCTCTGGCCTCTCTCTCCACCCCCAGGAACGTGGGAAGTCTGTGCTTAGGTTGGGAGGAGGGAGAAGACACGTCCTGTCCTCGTCATCATGGATCAAGCCCAGAGTAGAGGAACTCCTGGAGGAACTGAGACTAGCGCCTTACTGCTGAAGAGGGCTAGGCTCCTGCATTCCAGACACAGAGATTCAGCCTGGCAAACAGTGAGGGACGGATGTTTCCATCCTCAATAAAGGGGCCCTGAGGACATGAATCTCTCTATCCTCTTCTCTTCCTCTCCAGGTCTTTCTTTTGGGGCCTGATTACCAAGTGACTCACAGATGAGGCTCGCCTAGAACATGTCCTGAAAGGAATTCAGGGGGCTGCACAGGAGGCCCGCAAATGAGCACTGAGGGGATTGTTGGGAAATTCAAACTCAGCCCGCACATAGTGCTACCTTTAAGGGCTGCTGGGTTGCCTGTGGCATAATAAAAAATACATACTGGTCTTTGTCCCCCATTCCTGGCAAAGAGCCCCCAAAACACTTGGTATCTCCTGAGTGATTGATGAGTGTTTTTGCCTGGTAATGTGATAACTCTAACTGGGTTGGGAGGGGGGCAGCTAGAGAGCTTCAGGATGGGGGTTAGTTGCCAGAAAGACCAAGTCATGATTAGCGGATAGTCAGTCCCACCCCTAAGACACAGAGAGAGGAGGGCTGAGCCTGCCTAAAATCTCCAGTGATTCAATCAATCATACCTATGTAATGAGACAGCCACAAAAACCCTAACTGAGGGACTTGGAGACTTTCTGGGCTGGTGAACATACAACGTGCTGGGAGGTGGGCCTCTGGAGAGGCCATAGCCGCTCTCCCCGCTCCTCCAGGCCTTGTGTTTTGCATCTCTCCCGTTTGCTTGTTCCTGAGTTATGTTCTTATATTAAATTGGTAGACATAGTGTTTTCCTGAGTTCTGTGGAATTATTATGTCTCAGAGCAGGTGTGAGACCTGCTGACTGGTAGCCGGTCAGTCAGAATTACAGGCGGCCCCAGAACCAACAACTGGCATCTGAAGTGGGGGCCTGTCTTGTGCAGCTGAGCCCTCACCCCGTGGATCTGACGCTAACTCTGTGTAGTCAGTCCCGGAACTGGCTTGAATTGTAGAAGACCCCAGGAGTGTCAGAGAGGTGAAGAATTGGTCATGGTATGGAAAATCCCCACACATCTGGGGTCACGATGAAGACACTGCATTGCTCGATCCCCAGTTCCCCGCCCCCACCAGGTCCTGTGTGCATAGACTACCATGGCACTATGCAATTCTTGCAGAAAATGACTTGTCAGGGCCCCTGAAAAGGGTGGTGAGGGCGCATCCTCTGATGTGGTTAATAGGGGCTGGGAGGAAGAGAAGGGCAGCATACTAGTATAGGCGCCGGCACGTACACACGACATAGACTACTTGCAAACACAGTGTGATTGATAATCTGTTTTCTTCAAACTAAAACTCTTGTTTTGAACTGAAAGTTCTGCCCCAGTGACATCAGAAAGCACTGGACATCGACGCTATCAGGAACACAGGATGTTTTTCCCAGGCCCAGGAAAATAAGATCTACCTAAGTCAAGATGACAAGGAGGCAACAACAGACCCTGGGGACGTGACAAAGACCAGGGCACCGACTGTGATGGGCTGCTGTGGAGGGAGGGTCACTTATGGCTAACTGTCCTTGCCAGATCACTAGAAAAGGCCAGCTTCAGACGAGATGTCAGAAAGGATTTTTGAGGTAAAATCTCCTTGTTCTCTCAGGTCACCGGTTTTCTGACAATAAAGTGCGTGTTATAGATTCAATTTCTGTCTGTGCTCAATTGGCTTCTGGCAGCGACAGGTGGCCTGACCCCAGCATTTTCCGGTTACCTGGTGACATTTGAACTAACCCTGAATAAAAGAAGAAAGCAGCCACCTGCAGGGTCAGGATAAGAAAGTTCCGGGTAACGGGACTGCAAGAGCATAGTACAAATGAAGTTAGTCCAAGAACATACACACACGTCAGTGTGCCTGGGGTTGTGTGACTGAGGGGGAGATGGTGTGAGTGATGTGGAGGGTAGAGGCTTGGGCGGGTGCTGGCAGACGGTTAGCAGGTTCCTGCTGTTGATGGGGCATGCAGCTAGGAGGGGTGATCTAGGACTTGTACGCAGAAGCAGGAGGATGATTTGGGAGTCATCTGGGAGGTATAACTGACAGGACTTGCTGGAGGCTGAGGACGATGGACATATTATTATAGGTGCCGCTGCTATGTCAGACCTGTTGGTACATTTGAGAAAGTGCATTTACCCGATTCAGAAAAAGAAACCAAGGCTCAGAGAAGTTACTGGCTGCAGTCATAACCCCTTTGTGGCATGCAGAATAATTCTGCCCCCACCCCTACCCTGCTGCCAAAGATGTCCATGTCCTAATTCTCAGGATGTATTCAATAAACTATGTGGCAGGGAGAGTAAAGTTGCAGACAGAACTAAGCTTGCTAACCAGCTGATCCTGAAATGAGATTATCCTGGATAATCAAGGTGGACCCCACATATCACCAGGATCTTTATAAGTGAAAGGGGAAGTTCAGAGAGTTAGGTCAGGGTCAGAGAGTGACTTGAAGGTGCTGTGCTGCTGCCTTTGAGATGGAGGAAGGAGCCACTTGTCAAGGAACATAGTTAGCTTCTACATGCTGGACAAGGCAGTAAAACTCTCCCCTGGAGGCTCCAGAGGAAACACAGCCCACCCTGACAACTTGATAGGGCCCACTTTGGTCTTCTGAACCTCACATCTGTAAGTTTATAAAATTGGGTTGTTCTAAAACAATTAATTTATAATAATCAGTTATAATAGCAATATGAAACTAATATACACATTCATCCCAATAAATATTTATTGAGGGAACCATGCCAGCATGGGATGTGGGGTCCTGATCACACATTGGATGGACTGGTCCTGCTTCGTGGAATTTAGGAGCTTGTTTTACTTTCCCTCAAAGGCAGGCTCAATATCTTATCTTCTTCCTATCTCCCTACTACCTAGTACAGGGCTGAGAACATCATAGGAGCTCAATTCTATTGTGAGCACCTCTAAAGTAGAAACAATGCTGTTTTACAGCAGCGTGACTGTGAGCAAGTTGTGTCTCTTATGGCTTAGTTTCTCCAGCTATAAAATAGGGGTGATAATATTACCTGTGTCTTGGGGCTGTTACAAGAATCAAGCATGTTAATTAAGATATGTAAAATGCTATGGTAGGACCTGATTTCTTCTTGTATCTCTCCTCTTTCTTGTCCCAAAGTGCTCAGGAGAAGCCACTGTGCAGCAAGGGTTGTGTTGTTTTTACTGACCTGTGGGGGAGCGGCGGGTTGGGACCTCAGGGGGTTGGGGTCTGACTGGGCTTCTGGGTCTGCAAAGAATGCAGGGAAACAAGGTTCACTTACTTCATGTTGCAAAGGGTCTCTCCTCCTGGGAAACCATGCAGGCTCAGCCACATCTTCTGATTTAGGAAAGCTTGGTGACCACCTTTCCCTGCAGCTTTCATCCTGTTTCTCAAGCCCCAGACCAAGCACTTCCAAGTCGAAGCCCAGACAAGTCACACAGCTTGCCCAAGATCACAAAGCATGTGCTGACTGTTGCTGGGCCCTGATACATGACTTCTATTTCCTGGAAAAGTATGGAAGTCACAGGTCAGTTTCCATCTCCCCTCTCTTGGAGAGCAGAGGTGTCCTGGATCATCAATGCCCCTCCCAATTTTCCAAGCTGCTTGCATGCCTGGGTCCTCTGAACTTTGCTGGGACCTCCAGGAATGCTGATACCCGAAAAAAGAACACTCGTTCCCTTGATGTCAATAGACAACTACAAAATCAAAATTAATAAATGTTAGATTACATGTCTACAAAACTTGTCAACTAGTCAACTGACACTTAATGCCTAGTTGTATCTAAATTATAATTAATGTGGAGAGTGTATGCAGCTTAAGATGATTGATAGTAGAGCCTCCAAATATCAGGCTGGATAGAGGATGGAGATGATAAAATGACCCTGTCCCTCCCCATCTCTGTTCTTGACACAGGGGCCACTTGACCAAGAAGAGGGGACCACCCCTCTCCTCATGGACCACCCTCTCCATCCAAATTTAAATAAATCCCCACTCTCTGTGGTCCAGGATGACAAAGCCACAGTTAATGTAAAATGATGGTCAATCCACACACAATTTGAGGTTGGCTTTAGGGCAAGTTCACAACTGAATACCCCTCGGTTGGACCCCCAAACTTAGTCTCAGTCCACTGGGAATGACTAGGGGGTTCCACTGGAGTAATCAAACATCAACATTCATTTAACATCATTGAACAAATATTTCACAAGCATAATGTTAAAGGCAGGGAAGAAATAATAATAAAAGCAGGGGACAAAAAAGTGAGCCAGACCCTCTTCCATCCTGGAGGTCAGTGGACAATGGATAACAATGGCCAGTGCTTGCATCATAACCTTTTCTCATTTGATTCTCAGAAAAGCCCTGGGAGCAGCCATGCACGAGTTTGGTTTTATCTCCTTTTTCAGTGGAGAAAACAGGTACCCAGGGCATCTAAAGTATCCAGGGTGGCAGCTACACAGCCTGAAACAGTCCCTCATGTATGTGCTGTTCCCACCTGCCTTGTTGCTTCTCTCATGCTCTCAGGCCTTTCAGCCAATACCCTGGGGGCCCTCCAGACAGTTAGGGAGAAGTCTGCGGCTGCTGGCTTTGGGGCTCCCTTTGCGGCTGCCCGGTGCCCAGAAGAGGGCTCTGTCCAGCACTACTGGCCCTTCATGCGACTCAGCGTATTCCCCGAGCTGCTGATTCTATCTGGAACTAATTAACTATTTATTTCAGCCAATTCATTATGTTCTCTTTGAACCACGCTTCCTTTACCCGGAGAAAAGCTGCCCTGGAATTTGTTTGAATGTTGTTGGTTATATGCGCTTGTGGCTGCATTCCAGAGCTAGCTAGCTGTGAGCTCCTCCACACCCTCCCTCCCCGGTTCCTCCATCACCACACCTTCAGCAAGGGGATGGATGGGCTCAGCCTGCGGCTCTGTCCCCTAAGCACCGGTCCTGCCTATCCAGTCTTCCACGGTGCTAAATCACTCCTCTGCCCCAGCTCCAGGCCCACAGCCGGCTATCTCTTATATCATAGCGTCCCCTGCGCTTCATCAGGGCGCTCAGTTCTGCAGCAAATCCTTTGTCTCCCGCTTCAATCCCTCCCAAGCGTCAGTTCAATCATCCCCCAGCACCTGGCTTAGCTCTGTTCTGGCCATCTCTGTAGGCTCTGTCACCCCGTCACCCTGCCCTGATCCTGTCATCTGCTCCACCAGCTACCCCAACCCTCCCTGACAGAGCCACCCCAAATGACACTACTTCTTACTGTCATTCCTGCTGGTCTCTTTCTCCATCCCCTACCCCCACCTCCCATGCCCACATCCCCCAACACACACACTCATCAGATTTTACTACCTCAGTGCTTGGTTAGACTTATCCTAGCTGTTTTTTGACTTTGGGAGAGGGCAGGAGGTCACTTCAACCTTCAGACTCTCTCCAGGTGCTGGCCAAGGTGGATACCTCACCAAAGCAAGGTGGGAAGGTGCCAGAGCTCCTCCCTCTTCTCAGCCTTAAATAGTCAAAATCCAAAAAAAGTGGTGTCTCACCATAAGCTACTCTTTTTCCAACCCCAGTAGCCCCAACCTGGGACTGTCTTTGAGAGAAACAGAGCAATCTCAAGAAACTGGAGCTCCCCAAGATGGTGACTGGGGCCCCACAGGCTGTTTCCCTGGGAGCCCAGTTGCTGCAGCAACAGAAGGCAGCCCCCACAGAGGCAGGAGGAGGGGGCTGAGAGTGAAGAGGGACGTGCGATGTGGTCACCGTGGCTGGGTCGAGTCTTCCTTCCATCTCAAGGAAGTGGCTGTTGAGCAGCTCAGGTGGGCAGGTGTCTGCTGGTGGAGAGGGAAGCTGGATGGTGCTGATTTTTAGTAGAAATAGCAAGGAAACAGGAGAAGCATTATCACTGCAAATTCAGCCTGTCATCCCAGGGGATTTGGGGGGCCCATGGGATGAGAAGTACAGAAATAGAAGAATTATCCCCTAAATCCAAACCCGTGATCCATCTATCTGGCCAAAGCCTGACTGTGACAGTGTTACCAGGACCACTTCACAGGCAAGGCTCTGCCCTGGAAGCTGTCATCCTCAGAGTTAGGGTCCTGCCCCGACATCTGTCACCGCCTTAGCAGCCATTCGGATCTCACATTCATGAGCATCCTAAACCCTTTGTAACCGATTTATATTTTCAGACTTTTGCTCCTCTTAGGGAAATGAGCTCCCTGAATTCATGCCCGGCTGCTTGGGGTCTGTCCCCCCTGATCTGCCCCGAAACTGGTACAGGTGCTGAAAGTGTTATAGGGCAGCCCCAATACAAAACAGGTTGCCTGTGGGTCCTCACGCGCGCTTAAAAGGACTTATCAATGCTCTACTGCAGGCACATGCGAAAGGTTACTAAAAGGTTTATTTACAAGGGAAGGGCAAGTGAGGAAATGTACAACTCAGGGAGAAACGTGGGAGACAGTTTTAAATGCGTTCTACTCAGTCAGGAGCCGTGAAGCCAGGAACCCAGAGAGAGAGCGAGACCCCCCCAAGGCCCACGTGTTTGGTTTTTATACCAACCCTGGCTGCTTAACCCCACCCTCAGGTCCCAGCCACCTTCCCTTTGATGGTGATGGGATTTGTCTTTCCCATTGTCTTGATGGCTTTGGTCTGGAGTGAGGGTGGAGTCCACAAAGCCTGCATGGAATTAACTCAGAACATCCTTTCCCCCTAACAAAAGGATCCCCCAGTGTGGGAATTGTAGGAATCTTCATCCTACCTTCCAATCCTCAGGATATGACATACTTTTATTTCAATGATAAATATTCCAGAGTACTCCCTCCAGGTATTTTTAAATAGTATCTCATTTATCACCCCCTTTTGAGGCAGCAATAATAATGCTCATTTCAAAGATGAGACACCAACTCAGAGAGGGGAGTCCACTTGTCTCCCCAGCCAGCACAAGGCAGAGGGGGGATTCAAACAGGTATGACTCTGCGGTCAGGGCTCTCTGGGGAAGCTACTTTTGAGCTGGGAATGGGGATATAAATTAACTTCATTTTCCCTGTTGAAAATAAGGGAGGAGACGTCTTCCTTCACTTCCTTTCTCTGCACCCACACCCCGCCTGCCCAGTTTCTTTCTCTGTCCTTTTCAAAGGTACATAAATCTTTATAATAGCTAAGTGAGTCGCCTTCCAGGCTCACAACCCAGGCCTTTCCTCGAGGCATCATTCTGAAATGAAACATCAAGGGCTATAGCACCCTCTCCCTTGGTCCTGTGGGAGGGTAGCCTAGGTGGGTGTCTCCCTCCAATTTGCAAAACTACCCCTCTATAAATGGTGAGGATTTTGTTTTTCCTCTGGGTAAAACCACTAAGCTAACGCTAGTAGTCACCCCAGTTACCAGGTAAAGACAGGATGAACTGTGTAACAAATGACTTCTTTACCTTGATGTATAAGCAATGGGTGTGTACTTGGCGGGTGTATGAGCTTGGCTCTGCTGTATGTCTGGTATAGCCAAGGGGACCAGACTATGTCAGCCCAAAATGGCGTATGGATTATTTTAAACTGAAGGCTATTGTGGAACAGCTGATGCAGGAAAAGCTCTAAAAACAGGGAACAAATTTTCCTGGGTGAAAGAAATTTACATTGATAATGGAAATTTCCATTTGTAAAAATATCTCCCACAGTAACAGTAGCAGGAAGAGGAGGCTCTTAACAGCTCTTATAAAGGGGAAGGTTCTGCTTTCAATCTGCATAACACACCTTACTAAACAGCCCTTGTTTACCATATTTTCCCTCATTCCCTTCCCATAAATTACTCCCCCCAAGACTCAAACTTCTTTTCTCTTGTCTAGCCAACAATGGTATATAAGCCCCTAAATTCTGGTCCTATCTTTAAGCCAGATTTTTCTATGTGAGCTCCCATGCTTAAGTAATTAAAAGTGTGACTTTGTCTTTTATCAGTTTGATTCACAGATTCCACTCACTGTACCTAGGAGGGCAGAGGGAGAAAAGGTTTTCCTCCGTGACACTGTATAAGGGAGTGAGACCCTGTTCTCTTCACAATCTCTTAGGAGATTGTCACTGATAGACATCACATTCTGATTCAGTGCTTATTCAATAAGAAAACCCTTTTTGGATTCTACTACCTTTGTAGAGCAGTAGGGATTTGGGTTTAATTGTGTTTCTTCAACAGTCCCGTGTGTTGCCTTTTCAAGCATAGCTTACCTACTTTAGAATCTATCCTTCTCGTCCCTAATTCCTGCAAGACTCCAGAATCCCACTGACATCTGGTTTCCAGTTTTCTGGGGTGTGGTTTCTGTTCTGAATTAACCCTGGCAGGTGTCAGTAGATGTCAGACCGCAAGTAAGGCTATTTCCCACCTCTTGCTTTCTCTGGTTAGGCCATCCCACTTCAAAAGAAGAACAGCTATAGTTTTAGTCACAGGGCTGCCTCCCTGATGTCACCTCCGTGAAGCCTTCAAGAGCTAGAAAAGTCACAACTTAGTCTTGTGAGAATCCTACAGGCTGACTCAAACCTATC